ACATATTTTTCAAGATAAGTATAATAAACTAATACAACAATATTATTATTTATCTGGTCATGTCCCTCACATTCCTTTGAATTTTACAACTTCTTTACAGTATGGTATGTAAGAAAACATGGCATGCCACACAAGTCTACATCAAGTCTTTACAATAAACTGGAGTTTCATGTCATATCCTCTTTCCGTTTTCATCATTTCCGTTTATGACAACAAAGGAAACATTGTCAAGTTGGAGTAGTTGTTTTCTCTTGTTGATGGAATGTGTTCAGGAAAGTGCAACAAGTTCATAACTTACTTGCCGTAAGTCGCAACAAGTTCATATTGGGACGCCCTGGTCCTGTCGGCAGAATGTGTGGCTTATTATCTCCAATAACTTGTTCCATAATTGAGATTCTGTAGTCCTCATTACATTTTCCACTGCCTGACTACTAATAAATAATAAAAGAATTCCAAAGTGCTTAATCCAGAAGATGGAAAAATACCTTTACGTTGTATTTCTTTCCATATTTTCTGGCAATGGGATAATCTGTAAGATGCTGATCAACTTTATCAACACCTCCGATAGTGTTGTTATAATCAAAATCGTAAAAACAACCTTGTATTTAGCGTAGGTATAATGAAACACTCAATCGATTTCGAGAGCAGCTAAAGGTCCCTCCTCATCAGGAGAAAGAAATACCTAGAAAGAAGAAGATAAAGGAGTCACAGAAACACGTGGTCCTTATCAGCACTGCACGTGGTTATAACTAGATTTTTTCTCACTTTTTGACGGTTATAAAGAGGATTTATCCGAGATTCTATCTATTATGAATTCAATTGATCCAGCCATCCAATTCACTCTTGAAATTGAATCCAACAATTCCCTCCCCTTCCTCGATATTCTTATAATCCGCAATGAAAACGATTTTAGCACCACTGTGTACCGTAAACCCTTTGCAGTTTGTTTACCACCCCATGCCAAGTCATGCCACCCTGTTAAGCAAAAAATGGCTTCTTTTTACTATTATGTATTCCGCCGCGCTTAAAGTTTGTTCCTCTGAATCTTTGCTTACCAATGAACTTAATTATTTGAGAGCAGTTGCGATTGACCGTGGATTTTCTCCCGTGATTATTGATAAAGCCGTTTTAAAAAATTTTCTGATTCCCATCAAAGAAGACATTCCACTGTAGAAATAATATTAATGACCTTGTCGGGCTTTCCATTTTATCCTTCTGTTAGCTATAAAATTGCACGGATTCTCCAGAAATTCAATTTTCAAGTCGGTTTCTCCCCTATTAATAAAATTCACCCTTCGATTCTAAAAAGATTGCATTTCTCTCTTGAATTCTTGGGGAATTTATAGTATATCGTGTCAGTGTGGTTTAAGATATATCGGCCCCAAACGAAAAGAGCGTTGAAGTTCGTATCAAGGAACATGAATCTTATGTCAGAAAAAGGCAAAATTAACAAGTCTTCAATAGCATATCATAGTTGGACTTTTAACCATAATTTTGATTTTGGATTTGCAAAAATTATCCAAAAGGCTTCTCCATAGGTGAATTGGATTTTTTGAGGCTTTTCACATTTACAAAGATTTAGCAGGTTTAGTTAATGATTTGAAGTCCAATCCAGTCCTTCCTAATGCCTTTAAAATTCTACTATCTTAATCCAGTTATTTATGTCGATAGATGGCGTTACCTCCTCACGTTTGGTACTACCAGAGGGTATAAAAATCCGTTCAGTGGTTGCTTTCGATTATTTGAAGTTCAGATTTTGAGCGTAAGGCGCATTTGCCCCTCGCTCCCTATTTTAACTTCGCTAATTTTTCATGCTCGATCAGATAGCCTGGCTCAGTAAAAGTAGGCAGCCAGTGCAACTCTGAATTAAAATCTAGTTATAACCATATGCAGTGCTGATAAGGACCACGTGTTTCTGTGACTCCATCTCCTTTATTTTCTTCTTTCTAGGTATTTCTTTCTCCTGAAGAGGAGGGACCTTTAGCTGCCCTCGAAATCGATTGAGTGTTTCATTATACCTACGCTAAATACAAGGTTGTTATGATTTTGATTGTCGCATTAGCGTGTTTCTCTTCTAGTCTAGTGTTGTTATAGTCAGCAACTACTTTAGGTTTCAGTTTCATTTGCTTCTTCCAATCTGACTTCTCAATCATTTCTGCAGTATCTACCAAAGAAAATTGGTAAATTTCTTTCTTGTTTCTTTGTGCTATTTCCAGACTATGATTTTCCCATGCTGGAAGATCAGAATGGCACTTTTTTTTCTAATGGAGTGGTAAGTCTTTCCTGATTGCCCATACAGTTTAGTATATGTCTGTAGAATATAGTTGCACAAGCTCATCAGCTAACTGTTGAGAAGTATAATAATTATCTGTGACCAAACAATATCCTTTGCCTACTAGAGGTTTCATCAGTGACATAACTACTTGACCAGACATGCTGAGATATGCATATTCGCCATCAAGCTTTGTTCCCTTTCCCGTGTAGATGATGCTTGAAAAAATGTAGCCAGTCTTATTCTCGCATAGCATGACTGTTTTCATCCCAAACCAAGATCTTTTTAGAGGCATGTATTGGATCCATCCCAGTCTATTCTTATATAGCATCAGGCTTTCATCTATAGTGACATTACAATCGGGGATGTGAGTTGAACAAAATTTGGTGTTGAGAAACTGAAAAATGGGCTAAATTTTGTGCAGGTTTTCATTAGGGTGTGTTTCAAGGTCGATTTCTTCACTGGTCACAAAATGTAAATATTGTCTTATTATTTGAAACTTGTGCAGGACATAACTTTGTGAAAGAATGGAGTTTCAAGATGTATTTTTTTACCAAAACATTGAGACATTGGACTTCTGAAGAATACCCTGTAAAACATGGAGCAACAGAAATACTTTCATTTTATGGTCATTTGTAGGCACTCACCTTTTTGATCAGCTTGTAGGCTTCAGATGTTGTCTTCCAAGGCATTGTTGTGCATATCTATTAGTCTCTTCCAAAAAATAGTTCAAAATGTTGTTTTTCTTGAGTAAAAGTAGAAGTTTCTATTGTTGCACCCACTTGTGGCTGTTGGAATGGGAATCTTGGAAGGTTGCAAGAAGGTTATTCAATCATAGCAGCATCCAGGTTTAGCTTGAAAGAGTTTCACTTTCAGAAAAGTCATACTCTTCTGTTGAAATACTGGTATCTGAGCATGAGGAGCCTAACAAGTATTCTTCGTCATCATCTGATTCTACCATTGCGAACAAACATAGTGTGGTTTGAATGAAATTTGGGAAGAACCACAAAATTACCAAAATCCGACAATGGCGCAAAACTGCCGAACTTTTCACAGGAAAATGGTAAATTACATATTATGCATTGGATGAACTGAGTTCGGGCTTCACGGAATTGAAACACCGATTTTTCTTTTGCCAGAACTCAGGTCAGGCATTTCAAAATTGGCACATTTGCAGTTCGTGCATCTCAGGCAAAGGGTTAAACATACATAAGCAATATTTGTTGCCAAATTATAATTGTAGAACTGATTTTGCACAGGCAGCAATGTATGACTAATAAGTATAGTTATTTTAATTGAAAAGTGACTGTCAGAGAAATTAATTATGCATTAACAGAATAAAAAAGATTTAGTGAAACACATTTTTTTCCAAGTTTATATTTTTGCTTTTAATTATATTTCCGATGATTTATTTCGCTCTTAGCATGCTTGAAATTTGCTCAAAGTAATGTGTAATAAAATAAATGAGGGAGTACAAGTTTCTGTAAATTTAAGATATTCAAACTAGATTTACATTTTCTTTGCTTTATGAATTAATTTCAGCATTTTGAGACTATTTCTGCACAGTTAAAATGAGTGTATCTGACCATCCTTAATCTTCTGTAAGTTTATTATTATATTGTTGTTGTTTTTCTCCTCCCTGAAAGAACTTTTCACGAGCTAGGTAGATGAGTACAAAATTATGTTCATAATTCACCTGCAAATGTTTTAACTTTTATGCATTCTTATACTGTAAGTATCTTAATAAAGCCCAAAAATTTCCATTTAGCTTGGATCATATTTGGTGACGAAAACAATTCTGTACTTTTTCAGTCACTTGATTCTTTTTTCCATGGTGATTTAGAGCTGCTTCTGACTTTTCAGTTTACATAAACATTTATTTACATGACTATTGACATTGTATTTTCTGCTTCTCGCTCTTCACTTTGCCAATAAAAGGAAAATACTTTAAAATGCTCTATACATAAGGAGTTTCAGTCTAGATGTTTTGGGCATAGCACTCCTTATAAAGATTTTCAGTCAATGCCCCCTCTCCAAGCTTTTAGTATGAATTTCACATTGTTTGCCAGTTTTTCAATGTCTCTGTATTTGCAGAAATTTCATTGGAACTCAATAGAATTTTGTGAGCTTTTTACTTTTTTTTGGGGGGGGGATATTTTGGAATACTTTAAAATTTTAAATTACAGTGAAATTCACCTTATTACAAACTACCACGTGTGAAATACAAAAATTTGTTTGCCAGCTTTCCCAAGTATCCCCGCTTGCTATTAAACATTTTCTCAAATTTTATTATTTTTTGCTTATCGAAAAGGGGGGGAGAACATTAGCCTCTTTTTTCCCTTCATGAATGCATGATAGCTGTCCTTGCACTCATTTATGATTTATTAATTTATGAACAAAGAAAAGCATGAATTGATTTCAAATAGATTTAAAATATGGCTGAATTTATATATTTTTTATATTTTACTAATATATTATCATTCATATTATATAAATAATCTTATCAAGTCCTAAATTTAATATTTTTAAACTGACTGAATAACTTGTAATTCGATTATTAGTGAAGGAATGCTATATTGTTGTCATTTGAATCTATTATTATTTACTTTTCCTTTCTTTTTGATATATATAATGTTACATGCTCTTCTGAAAAATCTATGAAAAATAAGCATTTTTTTAAAACTTTATAAGAATTACTAATTTTTTTTTTTTTTTTTAATTTCTACAGAAGATGTTCCTGATTACTATGATTATGATGAATATGTGGATGACTATGATGACTGACTTTGAGCTTTCATGTATTTTTATAAATGTTAAAAATAATATTTTATATTGTTATTTTTTGTAAAATATCCAAAGAAAACAAAACAAGCACATGTTGATCATCTGCCACAAGTAAGCAGAAGATGGAAGGATATCTTGCTATTGTATATAATCGCAACTGTAAATAGCATTTTTTTGTATTTTTCTATCTGAAAGAATAAGTATACAAAATCGCCTTGTTATATTTGTTTAGTTAAAAAGCAGTTTTATAATTTTCTAGAAAATATGTAAATTACCTTTAATATTCATTTCATGTTTATTTCATTCCTGAATTATGCTTTCTATTTTTATATCTTTTATTAATTAAGACTTCCCCCTCCTACTCTAGGTGCATGACTCTTTTTGTAAAAATTTCACGTATTTTGAAATCTTGGGTACATTGCAATGAAACTGTAGTAGTTTATATTTTTGTTAACTCAAAATTAAATTACTAATTATTCTTGGTTATAATTGTTTGGTTGCTAATTTTAGAAACTTAAGTTATAAATTGGTATAAAGAAGTTTTAGATTTTTATAGTTCTCATATGATGGCATAAGACCAAGATCAGAGGGGTGGGATTCAAATCTGATTAAGGCAGAGATGTTTATGACTATCTGAAGGGATAAAATGCATTCAGAATTTCATTGGTTTGAAATTTTTGCAGATCCAGTTTATTTCGCTCACTTGTGCAGTCTTGTACCACCATATTGTGGTGAAGGTTGTCATGAAAGTTAAATGAGAAATTGTTATTTTTGACATTATTGTGAATCTATTATGTTGCTGCTGCTTCCATAATCTTTGGAACTGAACTGTGGTTTTTTGTTTAGAAACTCACTTCAAGTATTGCATGGTATTAAGTATTGTAAAGATCTCTCTGAAATATCTGCATCTGTCAAATATTATGTGCTGATGATATATTTAGAAATAAATAGTCTGTAAGAGGAACCTTAGCTGGGTGTAGATAGTCTTGTCATATCTCATCAGTGTATTTAAGGTGCAGTAGAACTTTAATTACACATATTTTAATCATTTATCATTTTTTTAAGCCATACTGAGTATTTCTCTGAGAATTATTTGTTTCTTTATTTGATTGTGCTAGAGCACACAAAGCACTTTTCCCGTGGCAGGAAAAGAATACTTTCACGAAAGACTTTCTAAGGAAAACACTTATGCAGTCAGGCTGTTTTCCAGAATTTAAATCCTGGTCGAATTACAAGTGTTCAGTGGTCTTGTAACTTTTCTTGATATGCTGAATTCCTAAACTCAAAATATTTGATAACCTGAATGCTTTTGATTGTCTTAAAACTTATGTTATTTTTATTTATTTATTTATTTATTTTTTTCCTGATATATCAAGGTGAGATATTTTCAACTTATAGAAGTCTTGTTACACACCTTTTTTTTTTTTTTTTTTTTTTTTTTTTTGTACAATCCTTTAATGCAGATTAATTTGCAATCATGTAATTACCATATATTTTTTTCATGTATAAACAGAGAATTTTTGGAACTTTTTCTAAAGCTAAATTGCAGTAGTCAGTTTATGTACAAATCTGCTGATCTCTTAAATAATTTAGATTTCCATTAGCCAGGTGCAAGTCATAAATCTCTAATTATTACACTTTTTTATTTCTTAATTTATGGAAAACTTTAATTCTAAATGAAATGAGGCATTTTATTTTCAAAATTATTTGTAATGCTGGTTTGTTGCCCCATCGATAAAATGAAAGATCAGATGTTGGTAAAATTTTCACCCAGCTTTCTTCACTTTAAACTTTTTTTATATATGCAGAAATGCCAAACCAGGCTGTTGTCAGAATTTTCAGCAAAGTGACCACCTGCAGTCTGAAATTCACCATATAAAAATTTCTCTTTCCTTTCATCTTTTAGACAAGAAAAAAAAAAAAAAAAATTAGTGCAGACATAACAGATCATATACAAGAAAACAAATAAATGGATTAAATAGCTTCAGATACAGTTACCAGAGTTAAAACTATCATCATTAGCATCTGGTGTTTTACTTTACTTTTTTACAATCCGTTTTACTTGCTTTCCAACTCATGGCATCATATCTGAACATTTCATGCCCCCCCCCTTTCATCATATATACCAGTTTTAAACTTTGGGTTAATTTTTAATGAAGAAATTTCCTGTGGGCTTATACATGGATCAACTTATATTTGGAAACACACGGTACTTGTTTCATTTAGTTATCAATCACCACAAGCAGCTGTGTGAGTGTATAGAACTACAATTTTGTGGAAGTATTGCACCTGCTTTGTGCTCGATTTCTAATGATGTTGCTTATGTTACCATCTACTAGCACAGATGGGAAGTCTGGCCTAATGTCCTTAAAGGTGAAAATGATCTTGAGGGTTAAACTTTGGTCTGTTCTGTTGAAGTTAAATACTGTTCTGTTATCACAAAAATCCACCTTTGCAACTGACTCCAAAACTTAATCTGTTTCCTGGTACAAATGTCTGATTGGTCCTCTGCACTTGTACAAACTTCTCCCCCCCCCCCCCCGAGCATTTTTATTCGATATGAAGAAATGCAACTAACTGTTCATCATGATTACTATCATTGATTTAATGCCCGAAATCCGTCAGATGTCAGTCAGAGATGTCACAGATGCTAACCAGTGTTTTTTTGGTCTAAAAAAATACTTGAAAATCTAACTTCACTAGCAGAAAAATGAAGATTTTAATTTACAAAAGTTTAATCAAACCCATTCTTACATACTCTGCTGAGACCTGGGCAATGACAGAAAAAGCTAAAAATATCATTTCTGTCTTTGAAAGAAAAATTTTGAGAAGTATTTTTGGTGGCATAAAATGTAACAATATCTGGAGAAGAAGAACTAACTCTGAACTCTACAAATCCTTTAAAGAAATAAATATAGTAAAATATATAAGGATTCAGAGAATTAAATGGGCAGGACACCTGTGCAGAATGGAGGAAAATCGAGTAACTAAAAAGATCTTCTCAACCAGACCATTCGGCACCCGAAAAAGAGGGAGACCTAAACTTTGGTGGCTCTACTGTTTGGAAACAGACTTAAGAATTTTAAAAATAACCAATTGAATGTCCATGGCTAGGATAGAAGAGCTTGGAATTCGATTCTGAGGAAGGCGAGGGCCCATCCTGGGCTATCTTGGCCATTGAAGAAGAACATCATGATTGAGCTCATGTTGTAAACATGATTTGTGAGCTCTGGGCCTTGATGTGGTAAATTTTGTGTTGGTGGACTGCAGCATATTTCATGAAAGTGCTTACTTGAGTTCTTTTCTTGGACTGTGTTGCATGGGGCGATGGAACATTGGATGTTTTTCATCATTTGCTCCCAGGTGAGTGGATGTCCAAGTTACCAATGTGGCAGTCTTGACACTTTGTACTCACTTCCTCCTGCTGTTGTTCATAAAGTGCTATGTGGCAGCGGTGTCTTTGAAGGTGCAAATGACTTGGGAGTCAAATTTGAGTCTGTTTTATGGAAGCCAGATGCTGTACTGCTATGGAAAAAGTTGACCTTTGCGATCGCCTTTGATATTTGATCTGTTTCTGGTGTGATTGTCTGATTTTCCTTGGGTTCATTACACTTCAAAGAAAATTGTACTTTTTTAGAAGTGCAGAATAATAAAAATATGTAGACAATGCAAGTTATTGAAGGTACTCCTTACATATGCTGTAGTGGAGTAAAAATCAGCATTGCTGATTCTTCCATGCTGAATTCCAGAGAAAAATATTGGGAAGATTTCTTGGTTTTCAATTCTTATTAACTTCATATCTTGAACAGTAATTCATAACCCCCTGAGATTTGTTGACCTGGCTTCATACTCCCATTTTCCTTAGGATGAAGAAGACATAATTAAGCTTTCTGTCATGTGCTTTTGTGGTACAATGATTTACATATTGGTTTGATGCACTGAATGGCTTTGTTCAGCTTCAGAAAAAAGTACAGTTTATTCTCTTGGTCTCATATTCTTCCTCGTAGCATTTAAGACTGCAAAAGACTCCTTTAAAGTATTATTTCTGTTAAAATTTATATATTCCTCTTTACATGTAATATTTTTGCTGCTATAGGGAATGGATATATTGTTAAATACAAAGAAAACATTTAATTAAGCTTTGTGGACTCCTGTGTTTTTTTGTTTTTTGCTGTTGCTTCATGGTGTCATCTATTAGTAAGGACTGAAAGTGCTGTTGTGTGAGATCTTCAATGTTCTTGAAGGCGGTTCCCATAAACAAGGCAACTACAGCATACTTCATCCTGTCTTGCTGAAATTTAAATCTGTTTCATGGTACAAGCATCTGATTGATCATGGAGACTGACAAAGAGTCCCTTGGCAGCAGTTTTTGCTGCCATTGTAGGCGTCTGGTGTCATCTGTTTGTAAGGGTGAGTAGCAAATACTTCAAGACCAGTGTTCTATAACATGGTTGACAATAAAGTGAAATCTGTCCCATAAAAACCAAACAGTGCAGGAATCTATTTCAGTGTCTCTTCCCACTATTTGGATGAGTTTCCTGATGCGAGTAACTAATAGTCATCGAGACTGCCACTGGTTTTATCATCATTTTTGAGTAGATATATGGCATCCAGTTCTTTGATAGAATCACATTATTTTATGTTAATGTAAATATGTGATGGAAAAATCAAATTTCTTGATTTTATATTAACATTTCTTATATTTTGAAATGATTTTCATCATTAATGGGCGTAGTAATTTGTGTCTTACTTTATTTATATTTTATACTTAAGTCATATGCATTTTTGAGGTTGCAGTTTACTAAGAATTTTAGAAACTCAGACTTTTGATTTACATGAAATACCTTGTTGTTGCTGCTGCTTTCAATTTCAGTGTATCAAAGTTTGATTATATATGGTATCTAAAGGTAAAAAGCACAATTAGTAAATCTTTCGCTGCTAATACTTCATCTAAGTGGTTCACTAAACAAATTTATTTAAAGGATTCTTAAAATCTGAATTAAAAAAAATTTTTCCCTTATTTTATTAAGTTCAGACACTTGCATTACTATAGATTAAAATTATATCCACAACAGAGGGCAGAAACATCATAGGCAACTAACCAAGCCTCATGTTAAAGTGGAGCCCATGCCCATTTTTTTAAATGGTTCATAACTTTTTTCAACCACCATGCCGTTTGGGATGGCTCGTAACTTAAATTGATTCTAATTCCATTCTGCACCATCCAGTGATTTTTCACATTTCATGAATTTGTTTTTTTAATTTCACCCTCTTACATAGCACTTAGCATACTGAATAGATAATTTTGAGCTAAATTATTGAATGTTATGATTCTGCAATGAGGACTATATTAAAAAAATTAAGATTCTTGATTTATTTTGGTCCAAATCTAGCTTTAGATATATCAGAACATTTTTCCTCTGACTATAAATTCTTTCAAAATTCTGGGTTCTTTTTTTCTACTTTTATTACAGTATTTCTGAATTCTGGTTTTAAGCTTCTGCATTAGAATCCATATTATATGTGTTTTGTGTTTTTGAAAATATAATGCATCAAATTAAACATATTGATTTATAAAATCTTGCTATATGATTTCTTAGGCGGAAATAGTTTTATCAGTGTGTTACTAAATGGAACATCTGTAAATTTTAGATACTGTGCTTTCATTTATTCTTTAAAAGTACCATAAAAATATTCCTGTGTTTAAAATAAGAAGACTTTTTTTTTTTTCCTGTACCACAGCAGGAATTTGAAATAGAAAATGCATGTTTTCTTCTTTTATCTTATTTTATAAAGCATAACGGTTTTATTCATTAATTAATGTGCTACTAAAGGAAAGAATGTATATCATTTATAATTTCGTTAATTGTAATTTATATAAAAGTTATGTTTCAAATGAGCATGTATATAAGTGATCATTATTTATTTTTCCACATTAATTTGATCTGTGATACTTTTTTTACTCTCATCATTGACTCTCATCTTTTTTTCCCCCTTTTTTTTGAGTGTAGCATGCACTTATCTTCATATTTTTCAAGAACTGTTTGATATGTTATTCCTTTGTAAATATCTCTTGTTAAAAAACTGAAAAAACTTCCAGTACAAATTTGTTATTGACCAAATGTTGTTAAATGTTTTTAATTTATTTTAATTTAGTAAACATATTATTATAATGTAAACTTTTAGCTTTTCTATTCTAATAATTTATTGCATAATTTTTTATTTACTGGATGTAATAATTATCTTTTTAAAATAATATAAATATGTACAATAAAACCACATTTCAAGTACATTTCTTGACTTCATATAAGCATTTTTTTTATATCATCTATGGATACACATCAGAACTGTGTTGCAAATAAAAAGTTCAGTAAATATAAACTCTAAGTTAATAATGGAAAGTAAGTGTTTGTGTGGTTGATGTAACATCTGTGCACCTTTTATTCAAAATGAAGCTAAGTAATGGGTAGTTGTATGAAGAATTAGAATTAAATTAAAAACGAGGGGAGAATTTTGGGTTGAAAACATGAATTGCATTTTCAGTTCTAGAATGATAAGAATATTTTGGGGGCAGGTACTTTAAATTCCTATTAATTTTACTTATAATTACTTAATAATCACTAATTTAAAAGCGTGAAAAATTGTAGGAAATGTAAATTTCATGATGAATTGAAAGGAGGGAGCTTGCAACTGTGATATAACATATACATATTTGATGTTTCATAAACTTATCAAGGCTCTTTATCTGTTAAACATTTTCTGTATAAAAATTAAGCTTGCTCATTTTTCAAACTATAGCTTAAGTTTAAAATCTTTAGTACCATCACTTACGGAAGTTATTGTAATGTAAATAAAAAATTTCTGAATGTGAAAGCTACACTAGAATATAATTAATGAGAACTAAGAGATTGTTAAAAGCAGAGCTGAG